GCACTCGCCCTAGCCCCTTGTCGGTGGCCCCCAGCCGGCTGGACTGGGGCTCCCGGCCCTCAGGCACCCGACCGCACCCAGCCGGGCACTCCTCCGAGCCCCGCCTTTCCTCAGCACGTCCCTGTGAACCGCCTCCAGGAACGAGTGAATCAGAGAATGAATGAGAGGAGAGGAAAATCCCGGTGTGGCCCCACCCGGTGTTGGCCTTTCCTGGGAAGCGGGCCCAATGGCTTCTGTCCGAGGGCCTCTGGAGACCGTGAAGCTTGGAGCAGACCTGTCCAGGAGCTGCATGCATCTGCCTTTATGCCATCCGTGTACTCAGAGATTCTAGAAACGTATCAGATGTTTTCTTAGGCACCTACAGACCACTGTCATTGAAATCTGAGGCCCTTCTTTAGGAAATCCCAATTTGGCCAAAAATGCTACCTGCAAATCCATGCATATATTGGGAAACTTTTGGAGATTAGGCGTTTCAGTTATCTTTAATTACTTTTTAACTTCGAAATCTGTTTTGTTCCGTGTTTATAATTTATGTCCTCCCTTAATTAAAGTGTTTAGGAGCAGGGTGTTGGCATTTTCCTTTACCACCAAGCTTCAAATTACTCATATACTGCTTATTTTGAAGCAGGTTTGACTTAGGCCAACTTTTAGATTTCAACTTTTGCCCTTACTTTTGACCTTCACCTTCATCTAAAGTTGATCAAAGGAAGGAGAAAATGGAATTAAATTATTTTTGCATGGCTACATACCAAACAACTTTGTTAACAGCATTAAAACAATTGAGGAGGGGCTGGGTTTGTGGCTCAGTGGTAAAGTGTTCGCCTAGTATGCACGAGGCTTCAATCCTCACCACCACATAAGTGTAAAATAAAGATATTGTGATCCCCTAAAACTTAAGAATAAAAGAAAAAGAAACAATTGAGGAATTAATTGGAAGTGTTACCTGGAATTGGTTCCAATGATCATTTAACCTTCTTTTTTCATATCTTTTCATCTGTTTGTGAAGTTTCTGTATCCTGAATTTTCACTGATTGAATTGACTATACATTTCTGAAATACTGGCTCCCTTTCTAAGAACCAAGAGCGTTCATTTCTCTGTCCTAGGGCCAAATCCTGGTTTGGTTAATTGCATTCTTACTTCCTGATATTCTTGAGGTCTTTCAAGTGGTTTCGGTCTTTTTTACACAATCTGTTCCAAACTGGTATACAATCTGTCTCAAACTGGTATTTAGAACCACACAATACAGTTACTGGCTGAGTTTCACACTTGAGTAGTCTGTACTTTAGAAATATAACTGCATTTAAAATTTTTAAATTTAGTTGGTGCTTCAATAATTTGGAGTGAAATAATATCTCATAAATCAAAATGGTGCTAGTGACCACTTCCCATAGCCTTCTTTTTGAAACTGTGGAATTCATCATTCATTACCTCTAATTATAATTATTTCAGTAAGCTGTGTTCTTCCCTAAATGAATGTAATACAATAATTTATTCATTTTGATATCTTCCAAATATCTAGTATTTATAAGTTAATAAATGCTTTAAATCTTTTAGTTGATAATTGCATACAAATGTGTCTGCCTCTCACTTTATTTCCTTTGTGACTAGGTTTGTTGAGATTAAACACACCTAAGTGCCAAACCTAATAAATAACCTATTGTTATCAAATGTTATCACTAGGCTCTGTGATGCCTTATAAAGAAGATACTTCAGGGAAAACTCCTTTAAAAAACAGACCATTGAATGTTTTTTTAGATAGCTCCTAGTCAACTCTGTCTTCTCCAAGTGCTTAGGTTAGTCTAATTAGAAAACTGATTTTTAAGCCAAGGCATGGTGGCACACGCCTATAAACCCCCTACTCAGGAGGCTGACTCAGGAGGCTGAGGTAGAAGGATCACAAGTTTGAGGCCAACCTGGACACTTAGCAAGTCTATCTGAAAAATCAAAAATAAAAAGGACTGAGGATGTAGCTTAGTGGTAAAGCTCCCCTGGGTTCAATCACCAATACCAAAAAAAAAAAAAAAGAAGAAGAAGAAGAAGAAGGAGAAGGAGAAGGAGAAGGAGAAGGAGAAGGAGAAGGAAGAAGGAGAAGAAGAAGAAAATATTCCAAGCAGGTTCTTATCAGCTCCATTAAACAATGAAATTACTCATTTGATAGTTTGCTGATCTCCAACTGAGGCCTTAAAATACAAAAATACAAAGACAAGGCTGCTTCATACCCTCATACAGTCTGCTGGATAAAGGAGGAAAGGAAACCACTTTTAGAAAACAGCCAATTCCCAGATCAGGAAAGCATGCCCAGTGGGGAGAAGAACGGAATGTTTAATGACAGGGAGGAACTAACCTGATAAAGGAGAGACCCATCTTGTCAAACAAAGGCAACAATACCTATGCTGATGTGGAAGCAGCCAACAGTGCCAAGACTTAGAAGCCCTGCAAATAATTACATTTTGTCAGGACAAATCAGTGGAGGAAAGGTAGGAATGCCTCATTAATAAGGGGCTCATGTGCTAAACTGAGGCATTTGAAACTAATATCTGATTTATTTAATAAATATAAACTCTTTTGAAGTATTTTAGCCCTTGGGTGATGACAACAACCCCCATGAGATGTGCTGCAAGTCTCAATGGGGGTAGAGGGATATGGGGGTAAAATGGGAGAGGGATATGGGGATTACATGATGAAGGGGACATCTCCAGGACTTTATGAATAGTTGAGTCTGAGGGAGAGAATGAAAGAGAAACATCTTAGACAACCCTCAGGATTCTGGTTTGGGAGACTGACTGTATGGTGGTGACTTTCTCTGAAATAAAGCACTCAAAAGGAGGAACTGGTTTCAGAGAACTGGCTGAGTACCTGTATAAGAAATAGTACCATAAATCTAGGCGTCTCAGAGAATCCTTAGTCCATCATTTCCCAAAATGCACTCTTTAGAACTCTGATTTTACAGGATTTTATTAGATGCAATTCCAAAAATAGTAAAAGTTCCTTTAATCAAGAAAAAAAGAAAATGCTATCTTAAATAAAGGTCAACAGAGTTCTAAACTAGAGAAGTTTTCAGTGGTTTTAATAATATGTAACTTTTGAGTTCTGAGGTAGATATTATATACATCCCAAATGTATTCCATCATAAAACTCTTTTTCTATTGGAACAGCTCATAAGACCTTGTGTTTCATAGGACACACTTGGGGAAATGCTGACCTAAACCAGGTTTTAAACCAGGGGAAAAAAGTAGTCCTGAGACATAAAGTGACTCCACAAAGGTTAAATAGCTATATTACTGGAATATACCGCACTAGAATCCTTATTTTATGATTCCGGTCACAGTCCCTTTCCACAACATTTTGCTGTGTGAGCTACAAATTCATTCCAGAACCTTTCGCCAATCAAAGAAAAAAATGGTATAAAAAATTATGGAGTATGTCCTTTTAAATGAGACTTCAAGTCAGTAATTTTTAAGGTTATGCTAATTTTTGATGATTACTACTTAATATAAGTTGAAAAGATTTGTACATTGGAAAAGTGGGAACAATTATTACCTTACTCTGGTCTTTCTGATAATTGAGAAGGAGAATTATAAGATTAAATCACCTAACTAAATAGGACATTCATCTAGTTATCCTAGTTTCAAATGTAACTTTAAATAAATTGAGATGAATGGGTAGAAACATTGAAACTCTCCCCAGAAATTTTCGTATTGATTTTCTTCCCCCTTCATACTGGAGAAAATGTCTGGGACTATGAAAATCCATGCCAGATTTTGACTTCCTCTGGCATAATTCCCCTGATTCTGAAGACACTAATAGCTAATGCATGGGTGGATTTTCTTATCCTAAATTCATAGTCCTAATCCTCAGAGGAGAAGTTTTAGTACTTCCTATTCTTAGAAAAATGAGACAAATTGTTTGTTCCCAAGAGATTTTTGAGGACTCTGGAGCAATTCTCAGTTTAAGAGTAATTTCTATACACATTACATTTGAAATAGTTATCATCATTTTCATTTATGTTTCAATAATTCATAAAGTATTGTTTTTATTTCTAAATGCTGTATTCATCTTTAACAGGCAAGCCCAAAGATCATCATATGTGGGATAAATATATTGAGGAAATGAGAATTAATTTCTTCAAAAATCTAGTAGTCATAAGTAGTGAAGAAAATACTATTATTAAGCCATTTGTCAAAAACTATTTGTGTCCACTGTGTATCCAGCTCCATCTGTAATCACTAGAGAAATAAAAGAAATAGTGTCTGGTATTCAAAAATGACATCACCCACTATTGGCAAGGACAGAAGGAAATAGGCTCTCTAATACCCTATAGGGGGGAATATAAATCATTAGGACCTTTTTTAAGTAGAGCAATTTGGCAATAAATATTTAAAAGAGTGAGAATGAAACATTAGTTAAAATATTGTGGGAGAATGGCAAATAACTAGAAATCTCTTAAATGTCCAGCAATAAGAGATTAGGAGAACAGTGATTTCTAGAAGACTATTCATTGATATGAAAAGATGCTCACAGTATGTTAATCAATAAAAAAAATACAAACATTAGGAACAATATAAATTTACTTAAAATAGAGGGAAAACCCAGTAGAAACTACAACAAGATAAAAGTGTTTATTGCAGAGTGGTATGATTATGATCCTTTCTTTAATTTCTTTATCTTTAAGCAGTTAATCTGTGTTCTTTAATTAGCAATTAAAATGAGTGAACTA